TTGGAGACAGACATTTGCCTCATGATATCACAGAGGCCACGAGCCCTCATGGGAACAGAACCAAACAGTCTGGGCTGGGACCTGGAAGAGAAGGTGTGAGGGTTCCCAGAGAAGAAGGTCACTGGGCCATTTCAGGCTTGTGCTAGGCCAGACATTTCCAAGAAATGACCACAGAGGACAGAATTAACATCAGGGCCTTTGGTCAGACTTTTAGGGTGGGGTGGATTGGCTGAGCCTCCGGAGGCTGTGAACATCAGGCAGATGGATGACCTAACTGGGAAAAAAATTCGAGCTGGGCCACAAAGCCATAAGATGCTGAAGGCGTGGAGCCCCAGGTCCCCAAGTAAGGGTGTGTCCAGTAGCCAGCCAGTATGCCCAGACTGGACTCAGATCTCAGGTAGATAAACTGAGCTGCCTTCTCTGCTTGTTCTGACTCGTGGGATCAGGACTACATTTCTCATAAATGTCTCCCTCTTCTGCTGAATGTCCACCTCAGGCCTAATCTGGGAACAGAATAATGCCAGAGGAGGAGGTGAAAAGGGGTAGGATTTTGTATATATTTTATTTTTTTAAAGATTTTATTTATTTGAGAGAGATAGAACAAGCGGCAGGAGGCCCGGGGCCAGGGGGTGGGGGCGGGGAGAAGCAGGCTCCCTGCTGAGCAGGGAGCCCAAGGTGGGGCTCGACCCCAGGACCCTGGAGCCAAAGGCAGACGCTTAACTGACTGAGCCACCCAGGCACCCCTGGATTTTGTATATATTTTAAAGCTGGAGTAACAGGATTGGCTGATTTATTGGGTGAAATAGCAAGAGAAAGAGGAGTAGTGAAGGATAACACCAGGGAATTCTGAGCTGAATAACTGGAAGAACAAATGTCATTAACTAAGACAGAAACACCTGAGAGGGGTACCTCTTTGGCGGTAAGAATGGGTGGTTAGGAATGTGATAGATTGAAATGTCTGTGAGACAAACAAGTGGAAATACTGAGTATCAGTTTAGGGGCAGCGTCTGGGAAATACTTTTAATCATGTAGCGAGTTTATGTTGTTAGGTACTGAGGCAAATCAATGTTTTTCATTTATTATTTCTACCTTTTATTTTGCTCAGAAGTTGTTTTCCTACCCTAAATTATAAATGTTCATCTTTATTTTTCTGTAGAACTTTATGTGGATATTTAAAAATGCATGTACTTCGGGGCGCCTGGGTGGCTCAGTTGTTAAGCGTCCACCTTCAGCTCAGGTCATGGTCCCAGGGTCCTGGGATCGAGCCCCGCATCGGGCTCCCTGCTCGGCAGGAGGCCTGCTTCTCCCTCTCCCACTCCCCCTGCTTGTGTTCCTTCTCTCGCTGTGTCTCTCTCTGTCAAATAAATAAAATCTTAAAAAAAAAAAAAAAGACCATGTAGCATAGACAAGGGGATATAAACATAGGTCAATGAAACAAAAGTGAATCCAGAAGTAAGCCCACACAAATATGCTCAACTAATTTTTATTTTTAGTTATTATTTTTCTTTGAGAGAGAGATAGTGCGCACAAGTGCAAGCAGGGCAGGGGCAGGAGAGGGAGAGAGAGAATCCTAAACAGGCTCCACGTCCAGTGCAGAGCCCCATGCGGGGCTTGCTCCCACAACTGAGAGCATGACCTGAGCTGAAATCAAGAATGGGATGTTTAACTGATTGAGCCACCCAGGCGCCCCTCAATTTAATTTTTAACAATTTCAACAATGTTTAACAATTTTTAACAATTGTATTGAGATATAATTCACACACCATGCAATTTGCCTATTCAAAGTGTACAATTTAATGTGTTTTTTTTTTATTGTATTCATAGGATTGTGTAACTCACCACAGTCTAACTATAAAGTGTTTTGTTACCACAAAAAGAAATCTTGTATCCATTAGTGGTCATTCTTTATCTCTTCCCATCAGCCCTAAGCAACCACTAAAATGCTTTCTGTCTCTATGAATTTGCGTATTCTGGTTATTTCATATAAATAGACTCATACAATATATGGTCCTTTGTGACTGGTTTCTCTCACATAATGTAATGTTTTCAAGGTTCATTCATGTGGCATGTATATTGGCACTTTATTACTTTTATCATTTTTTATGGCTGAATAATATGGGCACTTGGGTTGTTTCCACTCTTCGGCTACTATGAATAATGTTCCTATGAACATTTGTGTACTAACTTTTGCATGTATGTAAGTTTTCATTTTTCTTAGGTATATACATAAGACAGAAATTGCTGGGATCATATGGTAACTCTATCCTTAACTTTTTGAGGAACTTCTAGAATGTTTTCCAAAGTAGCTGCATCATTTTAAATTCCCACCAGCAACATTATGAGAGTTAAATTTCTCCACATCCTTACCAACACTTGTTATCTAACTTTGATTTTAGCCATCCTAGTGGGTGTTAAGTGGTATGCCACTGTGGTTTTGATTTGTATTTCTCAAGGGCTATGAATGTTGAGCACCTTTTCATGTGCTTATGGAGCATTTGTGTATCTTTGGAGAAATGTCTATTCAAATCCTTTGTCCATTTTTAAATTGTTATTTGTATTTGTGTTAGTCAATTGTAAGTGTTCTTTACATATTCTGGATACAAGTCCTTGTCAGATATCTGAATTTATTTTTTTCTTTTTTTTAGAGGGAGAGAAACCAGGGGAAGAGGAGCAAAGGGAGAGGGAGAGAAAATCTTAAGCAGGCTCCACAACTAGTGTGGAGTCCCACTCGGGGCTCCATCTCACAACTCTGAGATCATGACCTGAGCTGAAATCAGGAATGAGACATTTAACCAACTGAGCCATCCAGGTGCCCCTGAACTGATTTTTGACAAAGGTACAAAAGCAATTTAATGGGGGAAGGATAGCCTTTCAAACAAATAGTGCTGGAACCCTTAGACATCCATAGCCAAAAAAGAAAAACAAAATAAGAGAAATTTAACCTGCTTCTTAAAAAATTAAAATAGACTACAGATTTAAATTTGCTCCAGTACTAACCAGTGAAAAAATAAATGTATTGCATCTTCACTGTGACAATTGAAGGCAAAACACATGGGTCCTTCTGTCTGAGGATTCTATATTTCTACTTCTGAAGATTATGTAATTAGATTATGACATTAAACTTAGATGCTGGGCAGACATCTGTTTGTTGATTACCGATTTGAAATTGAAAAATGTATTTCTTATACATATCAAAGTAAATTTGACTCACTTAGTGACTACTGCCAAGCTTCGTAGAGGGTTCTGCCAACAAAAGAAACTTAAGAGATAATGGCGGAAATGAAAAATGTTACCACAAATTTTCAGGCTAAAGATACCCAATCTCTATACATTTGTGAAATGTACAAAGGCTGCAAAAAACTGGAAGTTGATTGATACGTCTTAACTTACATAAGGTTTGTCTGTATGGTCTGAAAAAGCAAGGGGGAAGATAATCAGAATTTCAATACTCAAACTCAAAACCAACCACAATTTTCGTCGATTGTGTTGCTTTTACTTTTTACACGGGACCGGTTTTCCAATATTGCCGTCTTAGTGCAATTGTAACAGCCTTGTTCCTCCTTTAAAATAAAACATAACCCAAAAGTATTTTTGAGATATTGCTTCATCATCACACAATTTTTCTTAAGTTGTATAGTTTTCAAGCCGATAGATGTACCGTTCATCATACTACTACTTGTAGCCATATTGTTTGTATTCAACGTGTTATTACTATTAACGTTTCAGTTAATCTTTTTTTTTTTTTTAAAGATTTTATTTATTTATTTGAGACAGAGAGAATGAGAGAGACAGAGAGCATGAGAGGGAGGAGGGTCAGAGGGAGAAGCAGACTCCCTGCAGAGCAGGGAGCCCGATTCGGGACTCGATCCTGGGACTCCAGGATCATGACCTGAGCCGAAGGCAGTCGCTTAACCGACTGAGCCACCCAGGCGCCCTGGTTGCAACATTCTTTTTATTTATTTATTTATTTATTTGAGAGAGAGAATGAGATAGAGCATGAGACGGGGGAGGGTCAGAGGGAGAAGCAGACTCCCCGCCGAGCAGGGAGCCCGATGCGGGACTCGATCCCGGGACTCCAGGATCATGACCTGAGCCGAAGGCAGTCGCCCAACCGACTGAGCCACCCAGGCGCCCGATGATTTAATTTTTTTTTAAGATTTTATTTATTTATTTGAGACAGAGAGAATGAGAGAAAGAGAGAGCACATGAGAGGGGGGAGGGTCAGAGGGAGAAGCAGGCTCCTCGCTGAGCAGGGAGCCCAATGGGGGACTCGATCCAGGGACCCAGGATCATGACCTGAGCTGAAGGCAGTCGCCCAACCGACTGAGCCACCCAGGCGCCCCTCAGTTAATCTTTTGAGAACCTATTTGTTTTTTTAAAATTTCCTCAATATGAAAATTCCCATCTCCTATGCTTTTTGTCATCGGTGACCCTGGTGAGACGAGTTGCAGTAGAAGCAGAGAAGGACATGACCCGATGTCGGAATAGGAGTTGATGAAATATGTTCAAAGACATAGGTTGAAGTGTAGGAACAAGAGGGTAGGTAGAACGGAAAGAATGATCAATGAACGGCTGTGTGTGTTTTAATAACACATATCATTTCCCGGTATGTATCTTTTCTATCGAGTTTTCTTCCTTTTCTACTGACTTTCTCCCGCATTAGAATGTCAGCCACATGAGGGTGGGGATTCTTCTCTGCAGGCTCCGGTGTGGCCCCAGCGCCTAAAACAGTGCCTGGCACACGGCCGGCGCTCAATCAGCGGCTAACGAGACAGAAGAACGAACGAAAGAAGAAAAGGAACGAGAGGAATGAAACCCAGGCAAGCGGGGCTCTGGACCCCCACGCAGCCCCTCCGGGGCCCCCGCCGCGCGCCGGGCCCGAACGCCCGGGACCGCCCGCCCCCTTCGCGCGGCCCCGCCCACGGCGCGTGCGCACCTCGCCCCGCCCGACGGTGCTCTCGGGGACCTGGCTCGCTGCGCCTGCGCACTCCGAACCGGCGCGTCCAGGCCTGGGCGGGAACGGTCGGCCTGACGGGGCTGATCCGGCCGTGGTTCTGCGTTGGGAGGTCCGGGGCTGGGAGAGCGCGTCACGCGACTGGGGGCGGGAGCAAGAGCCACCGGGCCGGCGCCCGCGGAGGGCAGTCCCAGGATGCCCCGCGCCGCGCCCGGCCCGGACTCCACTTCCCAGCAGCCCCCGCGGCCGGCTCCGCTGCCCGCCCGAGCGCCGCGGCCCCTTTGTGAGCCCGCCGGTGCGGCCGAGAGCGAGGCCCCGCCCCGGCCCGCGGGGCGCTCGGCTCCCGGCGGCCGACGGCGCGCAGCGAGGTGCCGACCCGCGGGGAGGAGGCGGTGAGGACGCCGGGGGCGGGCGCGCGCCTCGGCAGGCTTGCGGGGCTGGAGCGGGCGCGCGAGGGGGCCTGTGACAGGGGGAGACCGTGTCACCGTGTGACACCGTGTCGCCGCGTGCGTGCCCGTGTGTGTGACTGTGCGAACGTCTGTGACCATGACAGCGACGGTGAGTGTGCGGCTGTGTGGCGGGTCACGTGAGACAGCGTGAGCTTGTGTGACCTTATGTTGGCGTGACAGTGCGACCCACTGTGAGGGCACGGGTGCCAGGCTGCCAGGAGAGCTGCCAGCACGGCGACCGTGTGGCTTCTGCGGGGGGCGGGGAGGCCAGTGTGCTCCAGGTTTGGGGAGACTGTCGGGCAGGAGAGCCTGAGAGGGACTGAGATGAAGGGGACACCTGAGTAGAAAGAAGAGCGGGAAGGGGAGCGGAGCCCCCGCCCCAGGTCTGGAGGGCAGCAGGGGAGGCTCTCTGGCACAGAAGGGAGGTCCTTCCCCTCCTCTGCTAGGCTCTGCTAATAGCACACCGTAGGGGAGACCTACTGTGTGCTATTTATGAACACACATGACTGACAGTTACTGAGCACAAAGGATGTGCCAAGCACTATGCTAAGTGCTCCATGTGGATCATCTCAGGGTGCTCCCAACAATTGATAGGAAGTAGGTACCGTTTCACTGAGGAGGAAACTGAGGCTTGGAGTGGTTGCTTAAGTCATGGCGGTTGCAGAGCTAGTGAGTGGTAGACTGGGTGTCTGAGGGCAGGTGTTCTGGTCCCCAGACCTGGTGGTTCTTACTGTTATGCTGCTTCTGAGATAATTCCTTTACTCTCCAAGGTAGAGGGGTTTAGTGGAAAATAACTCATGAATAGGGGTTTCGGTGACTGTTCATGCATAGTCCCCTCCCTCATCTCTTTTTGAGGAAATTGTGCAGAAAAGTTAAGGGATTGGTTTCCAGGTGCAGTTTGTCCTAAGTCAGGACTACAAGCAGAGTGTTCTCTTTGGTCCAGTGCCCTCCAGACCACATGACCCCTCTGATGCCTACTCTGTAAAGATGCTTTCTTTGAAGCATTTGTAGCTTTATCTCATTTTGAAAGATTTTTTTTTTTAAGATTTTATTTATTTGACAGAGACAGCGAGAGCAGGAACACAAGCAGGGGGAGTGGGGGAGGGAGAAGCAGGCTTCCCGCTGAGCAGGGAGCCCGATGTGGGACTCCATCCCAGGACTCTGGGATCATAACCTGAGCCGAAGGCAGACGCTTAACGCCTGAGCCACCCAGGCGCCCGCTTTATCTCATTTTGTAGTAAGGGCAGTAACATATTCTCTTTTACCATCATTCTCTGGTGGGAAGACTAAAAACTCAGACCTGGATTCCAGTTGGGCTCACTTATTACCACGAAGCCTTGGATAATTTCAATAATTTCATTGATGGACAGCTTTCATGTGTCAAGGGGGGAAATCATCCTTACTTGATAGTGCCATTTATGGTTTCTTTTTCCCTCTCCAGCTCTATTATTCCAGACACTGCCCTTCCAGTGAGGAGCGTGAAGTAGGAGGACAGAGGAGCTGCCATAAATTCTTAAATTCTTAAAGCCATGTCCAAGGTAAGGAAAGATTTCTTCTCCCTGAGGTGCTGTTTTTCAGGTTTCATAGGAACATCTTGCTTTTCTTCTGAAATTCCCCAGCTAACAAAGCCCCATTCATTCAGTAACCTTGTCCTCATGTTCTCCCAATCCAGTAAAAAGTCCCAGTGAGCTTCCTTTTTTTCCTCAGCCAGCATTTTCATTTTCATTCAAGAAATAGCTTAGCACTCCTACAGGTTAGGTGTTCTGTTAGGAGCTCTCAGGAGGCAAAAATGCACTCCTTGGTGGTATATGAAAGCCTTCATTGATTCATTGAGGTCAAGGTGTATTCTGATGTGACCACTAGCTTAGAGCTTTTTCACAAACCTAGGTTTGAGAGGAAGGCAAGACAAGGGCTATTGGGCAATCTTAGTCATAGTACATGACAAGATATCTTGCTCAAGGTGATTTTGAAGAGTAGTATGTGTTGGGTTTTGAGTATTAAAGTGTGGGTCAGCTAGGGCAGTCACTGGGCTCTGAAGAATAAGGTTCCATGGGAGTAATAAGGTCCTGTTATAGGGACATTCTGAGTTAATACTGGGCTACAGCTAGGATATTCTAGGTCATCCAGTTAAGATTAGTGGAATATAATACTTATGGAAAAACAGGACATTTTTGAAAAAATGAGAATAGTACTTGAATCTACATTTTAAAATGGCTGCATACATCTATAATGAAGTAGTAAATAGTATGTGATGAGAGCCAGAAGAAACAAATGAAAAGATCAATATATAATGTTCAAAAACAAATGCAAGTATAAATAAGAATGGAAGATATTTATTCATTCACTGAACATAGAGTTATTAAAGACTTACTATATACTAAATGCTGGAAATACTGTGGTAAATGAAAATAGACACCGTCTTTGTTTTCATGGAATTTAATGTCTACTAGTTTGTTTATTATGTGATAATGTAAGTCATGTTCTTTTAAATCAGTGGAGACAGAATGGGTTATTCATTTAGAAAAAAGATTTCTTGGGGTGCCTGGGTGGCTCAGTCGTTAAGCGTCTGCCTTCGGCTCAGGTCATGATCCCAGGTTCCTGGGATTGAGCCCCGCATCGGGCTCCCTGCTCACCGGGAAGCCTGCTTCTCCCTCTCCCACTCCTGCTTATGTTCCCTCTTTCCCTGTGTCTCTCTGTCAAATAAATAAATAAAATCTTAAAAAAAAAAAAAAAAAGACTTCTTCCTCACACTTTGAGGGTAAATACATTCTATAGGTTAAATGTAAAAAATAAAACCATATGAACTGCTGGATGAAAATACAGAGAATGGCTGTAAGAGGAAGATGAACCAGAAGCAGAAATCAACTAGAGCAGCACTGTCCAGTAGAACTTCCTGTGATGACTGACTGTAGAAATGTTCTATATCTGCACTGTCCAGTATAGTAGCTATTAGCTACCTGTGGCTCTGGAACACTTGGATATACTAGTGTGACTGAGGAACTGAATATTTAATGTTAACTGATTTAAGTTTAAATAGCCACATGTGACTAGTAGCTGTGTATTGGGCAGCACAGATCTAGGCTAATAAAATAATAAAGCCAGGTAGAAAGTTGTGGGTGATCTTGTCCAAGTCACTCATTTTACAGATGAGGAAAAACAGGCCAAGTGAGGAAAATGACATACCTACATCACTAGTTAGTGATTGTATCAGATACAGGACGTTGTAATATATGTTGAGGGTCAGCATAAATAGATAGTGAGTGATGATTTGAAGAGGGTCGTAGAAAATAATGAAGGACTATGGACCAGTGAAGGAAAACAGTTCCCTTTGCCTGGAACCCTCATTGGCTTCCCATTTTACTTGGAATGAAACCCAGTGTCCTCTCCACAGTCTATAAGGCCCTGCATGATCCAGCTCTTGGCTATCCCAGACCTCATTTTCTCCAGGTTTTTACCTTTCCGTGCTCCAATCACACTGGTCAACTTGCTATTCCTCAAACTTAACCAAGCTCTTTCCCATCTCTGAACCTTTGCATTTGCTCCTCCCTCTTAATTCTCTTCCCTTAGATATCAGCATGGTTTACTCTCACATTTAGATTGTTGTTTAAACATTACTGCTTCATTGAGGTTTACCTTGACCATCTTACCTAAAACAAACACTCTTGTCACTCTAAATCACCTTACTTGGTTTTTTGTCATAGTGTTTACCACCACCTGACATTGTATGACCTGATGTTTAATGTCTTTCTCCTCTGTTAGAATATTAATTCCACAAGCAAAGGAACTATATTTTGTTTACCTTTGTTTTCCCTATGCTTGGAACATTGTAGGTCGTAGGCATTCAGTAAATATTTGTCAAACTAATATATAAATGAACAAGATTGTGAGTTGTTCATCTATGAGTAAGACCAGAGAGGTAAGAGCCAGCTACCTCTTTTCTCCTGCTGCTAAACTGGTAATGGAAAAAGCAGAAAGCAGAGGGTATGATGTGTAGAACAGACAGAGCCCATCAGCCCAAATGCTATTTCTGGGACCCCACCCCAGACCTTATGAGTCAGACTCTGGTGGTGGGGCCCAGGAAACTGCATTTTTATTAAGTCCAAGGATGCGTTCGATACACATTTTTTGAAAGCCTCTTGTTTCTAAAGATTATATTTAAAGGGTGCCTGGGGGGGGGATGGGTTAGCCCGGTGATGGGTATTAAGGAGGGCACATACTGCAGGGAGCACTGGGTGTTATACGAAGAAAACAATGGATCGTGGATCACCACATCAAAAACTAATGATGTATTGTATGGTGACTAACATAACATAATAAAATTTAAAAAAAAAGGGGTGCCTCTTATAAACACCACTTTGTTGATTGTCACCTGTGTGCCTCTCACAATCCCTATGCCTGCCGTTGATTCTCTGTACTCACAGCAAGCACTTGAGTGGCCCTGTGTGCCTTCCATGATTCCTTGTGCCTCCCAAAATCCCATGTCTCTCTCAAAACATTGATTTTTTAAGAAATCCAGTCTGAGAATCTTTGTCTTTTAGTTAGTGTTTAGGACATTTTCATTTAATGTAATTCCTGATATATTTAAGCCTATCATATTGCAGTTTGTTTTCTACTTATTCCATCTATTCTTTGTTCCTTTATTTCTCCTTGTTTGCCTTCTTTTGGATAAATCAAGTACTTTTTCCTTATTATCTTGTTAATTATACATTATTATTATTATATGTTTTTTATTTTTTAAAGGTTTTATTTATTCACTTGAGACACAGAGATACAGAGAGGGAGAGAGAGAGCATGAGCAGGGAGAGAGGCAGAGGGAGAGGGAGAAGCAAGCAGGCTCCCCGCTGAGCCGGGAGCCCGATGTGGGGCTCGATCCCAGGACCCTGGGATCATGACCTGAGCCGAAGGCAGATGCCTAACCATCTGAGCCACCCAGGCGCCCCAATTATACATTATTATTATTTTAGTGGCCACTATAGGATATTTACCCATTTCTCATTATGTAATTATCTTCTTCCTTCCTTCCTTCTGTAATTTTCCTTCTATAATTAGTATTCTTATCACTTTCTGAATAAGATAAGATATCTATAGTGGTTAACTCCAACTTAGTAGTAGTAGTAGATATTACAGTTACTCCTTTGAGGCTCTTGATTTCTTCTTGATTTTCATTTCCATTTCCTTCCATTTTCCTTCTACCTGAAGAACAATTAGTATTTCTTTGAGTACAGGTCAACACTTTATTCCCAGTCTGAATTATCTTTTCATTAGCTCATATTCTTTTTTTTTTTTAAAGATTTTATTTATTTATTTGAGAGAGAGAGAATGAGAGACAGCATGAGAGGGAGGAGGGTCAGAGGGAGAAGCAGACTCCCTGCTGAGCAGGGAGCCCGATGTGGGACTCGATCCAGGGACTCCAGGATCATGACCTGAGCCAAAGGCAGTCCCTTAACCAACTGAGCCACCCAGGTGCCCCAGCTCATATTCTTGCTAGATCAAAATAGTGTAATTTAAAATTTTTTCTGAGGTCAAGTAAGTTTGGGAAATCCTAGTTTCAGTAGAGAGAATATCTTCTAGGATTTATTTTAAGGAAATAATTGGAGATGTCTGTTGAATCCTTAATTCAACATACAGTAGTATTGTATGAGAACTGTACTGTAACACTTAAAAATAGTGCGCATCACTATTCTCACATAATGAAAAATTCAGATTCATGTAAATGAAAGTAAACAAAGGGTTAGTAAAGATACAGCATATTTATACCACATGTTATCCATCTAACAAAAGTGATGTTATAATGAATGTGGATAATCATCAACATGTCTGTATAAGGAAACATTTGAACAGATATATACTAGCTGTAAATTTTGATTGTTTCTAGGAAGTAGGGTGACATAGTAGGTAGATGTGGGGATGGAGGACTTGCAGTTCTTTTAACTTTTATAAAAAGGAAAAAAAATCACTGAGGGTACAAATACTGGACATTATTTGCTAAATTTCCTTCATGATTACAAATTGTATTAAATTCCTGTTTTATCAAATCAAAATAAATATTAAAATATTTTCAAGATATTCAAGTCCCATTGAATGGCTGAGAGGAAAAGGTCAGTCAGTTGAAACCTGGAATACATTAGTTTGTGTGTGAAGCTAAAAAAGATCTAAGAACTTTAGCAAAAGCTGCCTCACCTCTGTTTACAGAGGAAATGTGTGTAGAACACTTTTGTTTGCACAAAATATTATAGTTTGTATTGAATTGTTTGAGGTTTTTGTTTTTTTTTTTTAAGGATTTTATTTATTTGACAGAGAGAGAGTGAGAGAGGGAACACAAGCCGGGGGAGTGGGAAAGGGAGCAGGCTCCCCGCCGAGCAAGGAGCCCGATGCGGGGCTCGATCCCAGGACCCTGGGATCATGACCTGAGCCGAAGGCAGATGCCCAACGACTGAGCCACCCATGCGCCCCTGAAGTGTTTGAGTTTTAATAGAATTGGTGATTGACAGTACCCAGCCTTGTCTAGGACAAGTTTCATCTTTTAAGACTCAGTTCATGTTCCCTGCCTTCCTTGAAGCCTTTACTCACTTCCCATATTTCCCTGTGTTAAGTGTTTTAGAGATGGAGGCATGTAAGATCAAGCTGATGCACATAACTGATGTTTCTTGGAGGCATACTTCTGCTTCCCTTATAGCCTCCTTAAACATAAACTTGGGCACCAGCAGTTCACATATTAACTCATTATTTCCATTAAAACTGTTTCTGCATAAAATCATTGATGTGCTTAAATACATCCTCAATAGGACCATTACTCTGCAGAATCACATTTAATAGGAGTGATGTTCATATTTGATAACCACTAGGGCAAGGGCATACACCAGAACTTACCCCAGCTGGGATACTGGAGGGTGCTGCTGTGCTGGGCATTGCCCTTAAGTTGCTGGGTTGTGGGGAGATCTGGGATAGTCACTAGCAGGGCTCAGTGCAGTAGCTGTTTACCAACCAGTGTGGCATTATTTCAGTATTTAACAAGTCAGTTCAGCTCTTCAGATGTGTATCACCAAGTGCATCTGTATATCAGCCCAGGTAAAGAGTAGGCTTTGCTCCATGACATGCCAAACCAAAAAAGCATATAGCAAACCATAGGTAAGCCCTTGTAAGTCTGGAGCAGATTTACCTCATTAGGAAGAACACCCGTTTTGAATTTTTAGGAAGCAGACTAGGTCTTATTCCATGTTATAAAGATCCTTAATTCAATGGAGTATTACTTGAGAACTGTACCTTAACATTTTAAGAACTCTCACTCAGGGCGCCTGGGTGGCTCAGTTGTTAAGCGTCTGCCTTCTGCTCAGGTCATGATCCCAGGGTCCTGGGATCAAGCCCTGCATCAGGCTCCCTGCTTGCTCCATGGGAAGCCTGCTTCTCCCTCTCCCACTCCCCTTGCTTGTGTTCCCTCCCTCACTGTCTCTTTCTCTGTCAAAAACTAAATAAAATCTTTTTTTTTTTTTAAGATTTTATTTATTTATTTGAGAGAGAGAGCAGAAGTAGGGGGAGTGGGAGAGGGATCCCAGGACCCTGGGATCATGACCTGAGCTGAAGGCAGTCGCTTAACCAACTGAGCCACCCAGGCGCCCCTAAATAAAATCTTTAAAAAAAAATAAAAAAATAACTCTCACTCATTAGACATGCACAATTGGGTATATTCCTCTAGTGAGAGCTGTAAGGATTTTTTGTTGCACTTGATTATCACATCTGAAATGTTCACTATCTAATAGTGCTTAAAATTACTATTATTGTGTCTCTTTACATGAGAAGTTACCAACTGTCTTTGAAACTCAGTGGGGTTATCAAGAGCTGTTTATAATCTTTTATTGCCCCAGTCGTTCTGCTGTGGCATACCTTCGTTTAGGTTATATTTTTGCAAAATCACTACAGAACTTGTTTAATATTTTTACTACCTATATGTTTATTTTTAGGAAATCAATATTATAAGCATCAAATATATTTATATAGGTACCCTATTGATACAGCTGGAACATTAGCCATTCCATGAAAGAGTTTGGAAAATGTAGATTTAGGCCACGTTCAACTTGGTCTGTACAACATATTCCTGCCTCCTCCTTAATGCCTTTCTTCACTGCTCTTGTCTATCCTGATTTTCCATATTGAGAAATGAATTAGCATTTAGTATGAATAACAATTATTTTGCTCGTTTGCTCTTTTCCCCATCAGTAGAGACTATGTCAGAAATTGTATACTTTCCATGACAAAATATTAAAACCAAGCACAGAGAAATCATTTTAGAAATTGCTTGACATATGGTGCAGAGAACCAAAGATACTGCCAGGAAGTTTCGCTATATGCAATATTTCTCTCCAAAAGTACAAATTAACTCTTCAGACTATGCCAATCTGAGGTGAAGAATACTAGTTGAGAATAAAGGAATATGTTTATGTCATTTCAGGATTTGGTGACATTTGGGGATGTGGCTGTAGATTTCTCTCAAGAGGAGTGGGAATGGCTGAACCCTGCTCAGAGGAATTTGTACAGAAAGGTGATGTTGGAGAACTATAGGAGCCTGGTATCACTAGGTAAGGAGGTTCCCTAGAATTCAGAATCTGCACATAGGGCTGCTTTCCAATGTTTGGGAAGCCTCCGATGTACTTCACTAAATTTCCCTTTCTTGTGCTCCCCAAAATAGGCTGAGTTTGTAGAACTGGTAGCTTCATTGGACTATTCCTACAACTTCATTTTCCCCATTCTTCAGAATACTTCACCTCTTCCTCTACTCCTTTCTATAATGCCCTTGACTTCCTGATGACCAAGCACCTTGATCTGATTTATGGGCCCGGCTAATTCCCCCTTTATTTCTTGTAAGCAGGAGTTTCAGTTTCTAAGCCAGATGTGATCTCATTACTGGAACAAGGAAAAGAACCCTGGATGGTGAAAAAGGAGGGGACAAGAGGCACGTGCCCTGGTGAGTGAGAAAGAACTAGGAAGGTAGAAGAGGCCTTTGCAAGGAAAAGCTCAGCTATTCTGAGAGGTTCCAGCTTATAATTGATGTTTCATGGGTAATTTTTCTTAAAGGCTCAAGGCCTGGGAAGAAGCACTGAGGTGCCATTGGCATGAGCTCCCTTATTCTTCTTGTACATATTCTCTCACAAATTACTGTCTTCTCTGATAACCTTTTCATCTGGGTCCAAAATGTAAATGTCTGCTTGTTCTTGCTTTTTAGTTTTGCAAAAGTTGCTCCATCATACTTTAAAAAAATCTAGACATAGCAATGTCTATTTTTTTCATTTTTAGTCACTCATTCCTTTTAGAATGAAGGTTTGATTCATTTATTCATTCACTTATTTTACCAAGATTCATTGAGTTTTTACTTTAAGAAAATCATTCTGCTAAATTCTTAAGGTTCTTCAGAGGCTAATTAACCATCACAGAAAGAAGAATTTCCAGTTATATTTTCAAGTCTGGGTAACTGGAAAGTGAGACGGTTTAATAGAAACAAGTCAAAAGAATATCCTGATAGAGGAAAAAGATGATAATTTGACTTGGGACATAAGAGATTTATTTTTACAAGATGGAAAGACTTCTGAGTGAAGAAACACAACATGCCACTAGATCGGGAGAAGCTCAGAAAAAAGTGATTTAGAGATGTTAGTACGAATGGATGCGATCACTTAGTTTTACAGTTTGAGATAAACCCTGGTATTGGGGCCTTTGTGGGAAAGTGGATCTTTAACAACTTTCTCAATGTTCTCTCTGGTAAGTGGTCTCTTTATAGTTCTGTCTTGGGTGAAATTTTACCAATTTTTACTTTCCCAAACGATTATCTTTTAATTTAGGTTATCAAATTTATTTCTATGAATCTGAAGAAAATAATCTTATAATTCTTTTTTAATAGTTTCCAATTTTATTTTGTATAGCTGTTCTTTTTAAAAAATTACTAGGTAAGCTAGTCATTAATTTTATTTTTAAAATCCAGCTTATGGATTTATTAGTGTTACCATTATTCTCTTTTACAATTCTTTATTTTCTGCTTTCCCTAATTCCATCATTCTAATTTTCTTAGGTTTATTTTTTGTTCTCCGTTTTGCTGAAATAAATGCTTAAATCTATTCGTTTCATTCTCTTATTCACTAAATTCTTAGGGGCTATGAATTTTCCTCTGAATATAGCTTCAGCTGTCCTCCAGAGAGTCTAATATTTACTGTTTTTGGTACTGCTGTTTCCTAGATAACCTTTTAAAAAAATTTCTCTTTTACGGGAGAGTTGTTTAAAAGAAAGTTTTCTGGGGGTACCTGGATGGCTCAGTCAGTTAAGCATCCAACTTTTGATTTTGGCTCAGGTCATGATCTCAGAGTCGTGGGATTGAGTGAGTCCTGGGTCAGGCTCCCCGCTCAGCAGGAAGTCTGAGTGTCTCTCTCGCTCTTCCTCTCTCCTTCCCCCCACTCATACTCACATGCTCTCTCTTTTTCTCTTTCTCTGGAATGAATAAACAAATCTTTAAAAAAAGAAATTTTTCTGGTTTTAATATATTTTGATCAAATTATTTTATCATATTTGATCATATAGGACTTAGTATTCTTTGAAACTTTAGGATTTTGTATGGCATAATATATAGTTGGTGTTTGTAAAATGTTCCATAGGTTCCAAGGTTAAGTCTCTATTTTCAGTGTTAAGAGCTTGTTACATGAGTTTTACTTTTTATTATATTATTAAAGTCTGTCTTTACTTACCTTTCTTGTTTCCGTTTTTTTCTTAATAACTTTATTAAGGAATTATTACATACAGTAAATCGCATCCATATACATCATACAATGTGATGAATTCTGACTGTTGTACACACCCATGAAACCATCACCACAATGAAGACATAAAGCATTTCCATCACCCCAAAAGATTGCCTGTGCCTTTTTGCAGTCCATTTTTGTCCTCCTGGTTCCAAACACCAATCTGATCTTTGTCATTTTATTATTTTTTAAGATATTTATTTATTTGAGAGTGAGAAATAGCATAAGAAGGGAGAGAGTCAGAGGGAGAAGCAGGCTCCCCGATGAGCCGGGAGCCCGATGTGGGGCTCGATGTGGGGCTCAATCCCAGGACTCTGGGATCATGACCTGAGCCGAAGGCAGTCACTCAACCAAGCCACCCAGGCGCCCTGATCTTTGTCATTTTAGACTAGTTTCCATCTAAACTAAATGGATTCATATATATTGTTGTGTCTGGCTTATTTAACTCATAATTTCAAAAATCGTATTTTTGCATGTATGAATACTTAATGCATTTTATTGCTGAGTAGTAGTCTATTGTGTAGACATCCAACATTTTGTTTTTCCTTTCATCTGTTCATGGATATTTGGGTTGTTTCCAGGTTTTGGCTATTATAAATAAAGCTGCTGTGAAGCTGTCATTTACAGGACTTTGTGTGCATGTATGTTTTCATTTCTCTTGGGTAAATGTCTAAAAGTGCAGAGAGTCATACAGTAGGAATAGGTTTAACTTTTTAAGAAATTGCCAGTCTTCCAAAGTGACTGTACCATTTTCATTCCCAACAGCAATATATGACTTCCATTTCCTCCCTATCTTCACATCTTTGTATTTTCAGTTTTTTCTTTTATTCATTCTAATGGTTGTGTTGTGGTATCTCATTGTGGTTTTAACATGCAAATCTCTGATGACATAATGTTGAATGTCTTTTCGTATGCTATTTGGCCATTCATATCTTTTGTTAAGTGTTCAAATCTTTTGCCCATGTTTTATTACTTTGTTTTTATTATCGAATTTTAAGAGTTCTTTATATGTCTTAATACAAGTCTTTTGCCATTTATATGTATTAGGATACATGTCTGCCAACTGTGCTTGTGGTTTTGTTTTTCTGCTGTCTTTTGAACATCCAAAGTTTAATTTTCATAAAGTCCAATTTATTAATTTGTTTGGTGCTTTCTGTGTCATATCTAAGAAATTCTTGCTACCCCTTAAGTCACCAAAATTTTCTTCTGTGTTTTCTCTTAAGAATTTTGTAGTTTTAGCTTTACATTTTGGTATATGACCCACTGAGCTTAATTTTGTGTCTTGTGTGAAGTAAAGATTGAGGTTTTGGGTTTTTTTTCCTCATTTGGATATATATACAGTTGCTCCAGTATCTTTTCTTAAAAAGACATTCCTTTACCCATTATACTGCCTTGTTGGTACCTCTGTACCAAAAGCAGTTGACCATATCTACATGGGTCTAGTTCTGAACTCTATTCTGTCCCATCAATCTGTATGCCTATCCTTTCATCAGTACCACAGTCTTGATTACTGTAATTTATACTTTTTTTTTTTAAGATTTTATTTATTTGACAGAGAGACAGGGAGAGAGGGAACACAAGCAGGGAGAGTGTGAGAGGAAGAAGCAGACTTCCCGCTGAACAGGGAGCCCGATGCGGGACTTGATCCCAGGACCCTGGGATCACGACCCCAGCCAAAGGCGGACGCTTAACCGACTGAGCCACCCAGGTGCCCTATAGTAACTTTTGATATCTGATAGTTCAACTTATAAAATCACTTTAACTATTTAGATTATTTGCATTCCCAAATAAATGTTAGAATGAAGTTGAGAATTTCTACCCAAAGCCTGCTAGGATTTTGATTTGGATTATATGGAATCTATACATCAATTTGGGAAGAACTGATATCCAAATTAATATCACTTGAGTTTAGTTCATGAATGTGGCTTATGTAGCCATTTATTAGTCTTTTTAAATTCTCTTAGCAGTATTCTATAGTATCCAGGGCAGTGAATATATACATATATATATATGTATATTTTTAATCTTATGGTATTTTTTGGTGCTATTATAAATAGAATTCTTAAGAATTCCATTTTCCATTTGTTGTTAGTATGCAAAAATGTAAATTGATTTTTATATTAACTTTATATCTTATAATCTTGATAGATTTATTTAATAGTTCTAGTAGCTCTTTGTAGGTTCCTGAGGCGCCTGGGTGGCTCAGTCAGCTAAGCATAGGCCTTTGGCTCAGGTCACGATAGCAGGGTCCTGGGATTGAGTCCCGCATTGAGGTCCCCACTCAGTGGGGAGTCTGCTTCTCCCTCTCCCTCTGCCCCTCCCCCCACTCATGCTCACTCGCTCTCTTTCATATAAAATCTTTTTTAAAAATTTACATTTGGTCGGAATATATCACATAGAAAATGCCTGACGACTTTTTTTTTAAAGTAGGCCACACACCCAATGTGGGGTTTGAACTCCTGAGATAAAGTCACATGCTCTACTGACTGAGCCAGCCATGTGCCCCAAAAAGACATTTTTTTTAGGCTACAAAAGTTTAGCCACAGTTGGCCTGGACAACCTAAGGCAACTAATAGTACCTGGTGTATCTTTGGGTATGAGGATCTTACGGAAGTTTTTTTAGCCACACTGACCTTATGAAATTGACTTTTGAAAGATAATGAACTTAGCTTGAATGCAGAATGACCTGAGGCAAGAGAAGAAGGGAAGGGTATTTGGAGACTGTAATTTTAAATCATATATAAAATTACTGTGATTTTATATAACTTCTTCAGTTTCTAATTTTTTTCCTAATTCTTGGTTTTTCATTCTTTATATTTCATACTTTTTAGACTGCTTCTTAACAGCTGTTAAATCCCCAAACTTATGTATTTTATTCACCAATTTTTGTTTTAGAAGTTCTCTTCTGATGAACAAATACAAAAGACCTTTGTTTTCTTGATATCTTTTAGATTGGGAGTATACATTTAAAAACAATGGATTTTCATCAAAGCAAGTTATTTATGAAGAAACATCCGAACTAGTGAAAATGGGAAGAAGCCATCTTAGTTATAGCCTCGACTGCCCCAGCTTGAGAGAAGACTATAAAAGTGAGGACTGGCTCAAGAACCAGTTAGGAAGTCAGGAGGTACATTCCAGACAACTGATCATCACTCATAAAGAAATGCTCACTGAGGATCAAAGTAATGAATATACTAAATCTTGGCAAACTTTCCATCAGGATGCAATATTTGATATAAAAAAGACTTTTCCCACCAAAGAAAGAGTACATAAGCATGAGCCACAAAAGAGAAGTTACCGAAAAAAGTCTGTCGAAATGAAACATAAGAAAGTCTATATACAAAAGAAACTCTTGAAATGTAATGAATGTGAGAAAGTTTTCAACCAGAGCTCATCCCTTACTCTTCATCAGAGAATTCATACTGGAGAGAAACCCTATGCATGTGTTGAATGTGGGAAAACCTTCAGCCAGAGTGCAAACCTAGCTCAACATAAGAGAATACATACTGGAGAGAAACCCTATGAATGTAAAGAATGTAGGAAAGCCTTCAGCCAGAATGCACACCTTGCTCAACATCAGAGAGTTCATACTGGAGAGAGACCTTATCAATGTAAAGAATGTAAAAAAGCCTTCAGCCAGATTGCACACCTGGCTCAACATCAGAGAGTTCATACTGGAGAGAGACCTTTTGAATGTATTGAATGTGGAAAAGCCTTCAGTAATGGTTCATTTCTCGCTCAGCATCAGAGAATTCATACAGGAGAAAAACCTTATGTATGTAATGTGTGTGGGAAAGCCTTTAGCCATCGTGGATACCTAATTGTACATCAGAGAATTCATACTGGAGAGAGACCGTATGAATGTAAGGAATGTAGGAAAGCTTTCAGCCAATATGCACACCTTTCTCAACATCAGAGAGTTCATACTGGAGAAAAACCTTATGAATGTAAAGTATGCAGGAAAGCCTTCAGCCAGATTGCATACCTTGATCAACATCAGAGGGTTCATACTGGAGAAAAACCCTATGAGTGTATTGAATGTGGGAAGGCCTTTAGCAATAGTTCATCACTTGCACAACATCAGAGAAGTCATACTGGAGAAAAACCTTATATGTGCAAGGAATGTAGGAAAACATTTAGCCAGAATGCAGGCCTTGCTCAACATAAGCGAATTCATACTGGAGAGAAACCTTATGAATGTAATATTTGTGGGAAGGCCTTTAGCTATAGTGGATCTCTTACTCTACATCAAAGAATTCATACAGGAGAGAGACCCTATGAATGTAAGGATTGCAGGAAATCTTTCAGGCAGCGTGCCCATCTTGCCCAGCATGAGAGAATTCATACTATGGAGTCATTCTTGACTCCTTCCTCTCGCTCATCCCCCATGTCCAGTCAGTTGCCAAGACCTGTTGGTTTTATCTCCTAAATATGCCTTGAATCTGACTCCTTTAATCCATTTCCGTTCCATCATCTTTGTGCAGTACACAGTAATCTATTTCATATGGACTATGGAAATAGCTTTCTGATTGGTCTCCCTGTATTTACCATTTCCTTTGTCAGTTGCCTACACTGCAGTCAAACTTGTATTGTAGAAGTTTGATCATATCCCTTCCTCATTGATACCCTTCACTGGTACCCCACATAGTTCTTAGGTTAAAGCACACATTCCTCAGAATAACCTAAAAGACCCTCCTGCCCCAAATACCTTGTTCCAGTATACCTTCCAAAGTACTATTTCATGTCAAAATCCATCTCATTCTTTGGCTATTTATCCAGAATTAAGAACTCATATTCCAGCATCAAACAGATCTGGGTTTCTAATCCTTGCACTTCCATTTTCTAGCCCTCTAGTTTGAGAGAAACATTTTGTTCTTTGTAAGGTTCAGTCTTCTTATTTATATTATGGAAATAATAATAGTACTACCTCAAAAGTTGATGGGAGGATTAAATGAGAGAATGCATGTAAATTGCTCAGAGTGCCTAGCATAATCACTTAATAAATGTTACCATAAAATGAAAAGTTACTGTGGCATACAAAGAGGACCTGATCATCTTAGCAAGGATCATCTGAGAAATAACAAAAGAAGCAGCAGTTTAAGACTTAAGAGATAATAAAGATTTTTGATTAGGAACAGCAGTCATTGTTCTAAAGGTGGGTGATAAGGGTATCTAAAAACAGTAGCATTGATATTAAAGTCCATAATGATATAGAGTAAGATATGACTTTGTTGGTAAGAAAAACTAACTTCATTAAATATTCAAGTTCTAAGAAGCCAGATTTTAAAAATCACTAATAATAAGTAGGATTTACTGAGATGTAGTCATCATTTACATTAAGACAAAGGCAAAATAGATATTTTTAAAAAGACAACTTAAAAAAATCAATAACCAAAGAATAGAAAATAAAAGTTTGATGCCCTCTCCTAATTCCAGGTGGTTGAACTGTATTAAATCTATGTTGTTTAAAACCAAAAAGGTCAAGCTAGTTCTAAGGTGTAATTCCAAAACTAGAGGGAAAGAGAAAACCATAGATCAATACTCCTGAACTGGTGGCCCACAACCGTGTTTGATTTGTACTCATCAAGTTTAAAATGAATACAAAAAAAAAAAAAAAAAAAAACAAATACTTTTATTTGGGCATGTGTTTTCCAGTTCTCCACAGTTCAAACCATTCCTCCTTCCCTTACATCTGACTTATTTTACACTTTATATTACTTCCTAACTCTTGGAGGCTTTGAATATGCAATCACTTCAGTAACCAATTCACATATGAATATAGGTACAAAGAAAATGATGAAATGGAGGGCGAAAAGGAAGATTTGAATAGACATTTTATCCTGCAGGGGAAGACTATTCTCAAGATGTTAGGAGGCCCAAAATTAATCTACAGATTCTTCGTACCTAACAAAATCCTAAGAATTTTTTAAGGCTTGAAACACTGTGTGCATGTGAACAGACACATGTACATTCATACAGATAAACACATAAAATATATAAAGGAATTTGTCAGTGGCTTAACAGTATTGGTAAAATTGATTCTGCTCTGTACAAAACCAATTCCTTCATTCTTTTATCCAAATGTGAAAGAGTTATTAGAGGACATAGTAACAATTTATAATCAAAGAGTGAAAACAATCTTCCTAAACAGGGCATGAGATCCAGAAGCCACAATTACACAGATTCTAGGTTTGACGGCATAAGAACTTTATTAAGCTTTTTATATAGTCAAAGATAGTATAAACACAAAGTTTTTAAATATCACAATTAGAGAGAATTATTACAACATACATGAAATCCATATCCTTAATATAAAAGTGGTCCTACAGATCACTTAGAAAATGACACTACTATTCCCAAAGGCAAAGGATATAAAGAGGCAACAGGTGACTGATGAATGTATGATAAATACTGAATCTCACTAGAATCAAGAAATACAAGTTAAGCCAATGAACTATCCATCCTTCAATATCAGATTTATAAAAAATATGCATTGCAAAGGCAGGAAAGGAGTATGTGTGAGAGTATGAATTTGTACAAATTTTTGGAAAGGCAACTTATCAATATCAGAATTTTCATTGGAAAAACCAAGATTTTCTTTCACAGTTAACAGTATATAAATATACCTTCCTTCCATATCCCATTAAATGCATAAAACAATGAAAAAGATACCAAACAAAGATCAGAAAGCAGGGTCATCAGTGGATGGAAAGAACTGAGCAAATAAAAGACAAAATGGAGGAAAGTGTTCATTCATGAAATGTAGCAGAGGCTGCTGTGACCTGAAATGTTTGAATGATAGGGATTTCAGTAATAGGAGCCACTCTGCCCAAATGCTGTGTACAGAGCATCCCTAGAGGAGTTTAGGCTTCAAGCTGGTTTGTGTGTAGAGGCTGGGGGTGGGAGGGATGGTAATAAGAAACAGTGACCAGACTGTTAAATGCTTTTCTTTGTGGAAGCCAACAGCTTCCTCACTCCACACTCTATAAGTAAATTGAATAGGATCCTTACTTCACACCATCCACAAAAAGGGAGTTCCAGTTGATTAAGATCCTAAATGTAAAACAAGTAAAATATTATAAGCACACATAGTAGGATATATTTATTAATTGGTGTTGGACATACATTTCTAAAAAAAATGTTCTTAAAATTTAGAAAAACAGAAAGGAAGAAAATATTTGTAATATAATACAAAGGGAAAGATGTAAGAACACCTATAAATAAGCAAAAGACAACTAAGGAGGTATAAAAATGGACAAAATATGAGAATAGGCAAATCGCAGAAATACAGAAAATAGTCGTGGCTCAACCTCACTAGTATTGAGATGCAAATTTAAATAATGTACTCCCAAAAAGTGGCAGGGGCATGGAGCAATAAGAACGGCGGCCTCACTGCCACTTTGGAGGCAGTGAAGTTTTTAAAATGTTCACTATAGTCCCTTTGGAGGGCAGTATGGTTAGTACATGAAACACTGGAAACAACCTAAAGTTCCATGGGGCATGACTAGAAACATTAGCAGCAGTTTGAAAGAATGCACCAGTGATACGGACATCGATGTATTTGACTAAAGGACATTGAAACAGCAAATTTTGTAGACTTGCACAGAATTATGTTTTTAACATGTTTCTAATACATTTAAATAAGTATGCAAATGTTTCAAAAAGGTTCTGGAGAGACACATGCCAACTGATAAGTGTTCCTTCTAGGGAGGAGACTGGGATTGGATATTCTGGTTAAGAGGAGACCTAGTGTTATCTGTAGTATTTGAAGTTCTAGGCAATAATGTAATAATATAAGAAATTTAAAATATGAAAAAATTAACTTATGGAAACTTGGGTAGTTAGCATGAGAGTTGGTGGCTAAGTCAAAACCTTTTCAGCAATTTGGAGAATCTCTCTTTGACTTGCTAGTCCTTCCCATGCATACAAAGATCTCAGTAACCCTTCCTATTCAGGGAAACTGATCTACAGCTACCTGGGGTAATCAAGCCATATCATTTTTTTCTTTTTTTTAAAGATTTTATTTATTTGACAGAGACACAGCGAGAGAGGGTACACAAGCAGGGGGAGTGGGAAAGGGAGAAGGAGGCTTCCTGCTAAGCATGGAAGGACCAGGACCCTGGGATCATGGCCCAAGCCGAAGGCAGACGCTTAACGACTGAGCCACCCAGGCGCCCCCATTTTTTTAAAGTAATTTCTACACCCAATGTGGGGCTCAAACAACACCAGGATCAAGAGTCACATACTCTACTGACTGAGCTCTATTGACTGATATAGCCAGACGCCCCAAGCCATATCATTCTTTTTTTTTTTTTAAGATTTTATTTATTTGAGAGAGAGAGAATGAGAGACAGAGAGCATGAGAAGGAGGAAGGTCAGAGGGAGAAGCAGACTCCCCGCTGATCAGGGAGCCCGATGCGGGACTCGATCCCGGGACTCCAGGATCATGACCCGAGCCGAAGGCAGTTGCTTAACCAACTGAGCCACACAGGCGCCCCCAAGCCATATCATTCTTAAATGTTGGAACAGTTAAGGACCGTAACATATGAAGAAAACGATCAGCTATTATAATAAGGACCAAGAGACAGCACTAAACCTAAAGTGGAGAAAGTTACATAATGACAGAAAAAAACTAAAAATTTATGTCAGATTTGAACAGGTTAATATGGAAAGCTATCAAAAAAGAAACAGAGGGGCACCTGGATGGTTCAGCCGGATAAACGTCTGCCTTCGGCTCAGGTCATGATCCTTCTGAGATCAAGCCCCAGGTTAGGCTCCCTGCTCAGCAGGGAGTCTGCTTCTCTCTCTACCCCTCCCCCGCTCATGCTCCCAAAGAAATAAAATCTTAAAAAAAAAAAAAATTAGATAGTATTGTACACCTGAAACTAATATTTAAACACTGTTAACTATACTGAAATTAAAATGTTTAAAAATCATTAAAAAAAAATATGTACAGAAAATGTTTTCTAGAAAAAAAAAGTCAGAACTCCTAAGAATGAAAAAGTTATTGCTGTAATAAACTTAATAGAAGTTTTATCTTTTTTAAAAGATTTTATTTATTTATTTGACAGAGAGAGAGACAGCAAAAGAGGGTACATAAGCAGGGGGAATGGGAGAGGGAGAAGCAGGCCTCCCGCTGAGCAGGGAGCCCAATGCGGGGCTGGATCCCAGGACTCTGGGATCATAACCTGAGCCAAAGGCAGATGCTTAATGACTGAGCCACCAGGTGCCTCTTAATAGAAGTTTTTTTGTTTTTTTGTTTTTTTAAGATTTTATTTATTCAGGGGCGCCTGGGTGGCTCAGTTGGTTAAGCGACTGCCTTCGGCTCAGGTCATGATCCCGGAGTCCTGGGATCAAGTCCCACATCAGGCTCCCAGCTCAGCGGGGAGCCTGCTTCTCCTTCTGACCCTATCCCCTCTCATGCTGTTTCTTTCTCTCTCTCTCAAATAAATAAATAAATAAATAAAATCTTTAAAAAAAAAAGATTTTATTTATTCATTTGACAGAGAGATACAGACAGAGTGAGAGAGCACAAGCAGGCAGAGCCAGAGGCAGAGGGAGAAGCAGGCTCCCCGCCAAGCAAGGAGCCCAATGCGGGGCTCAATCCCAGGATCCCAGGATCACGACCCAAGCCAAAGGCAGACGCCCAACCAACTGAGCCACCCAAGCGCCCCCTTTAATAGAAGTTTTAAAGAAAATTAAGAAAACTTTCCAAATTCATAAATTAAAAGAAAATAAGAAACAAAAAGGACATAGAAGTTTAATTAATAGGAGTTTCAGAGAAGTTTACAAAGAAAATATAAGGGATATATCAAATAAATGAGAATCTTTCTAAACTCAAGAAAGTTATGAATATTCAGCTTGGAATAGCTCACTGAGTGCTGGGCAGGCTGAACTGGCAAAAACCACAATTACAACAGAAAAAAAGACATCCAGAAATATGCTTGTGAAATTTCAGAATATTGAAAGTGAAACCATCCTAAAAAGCTTTAAAAAAATGTGAATATTTCCTAAAAAGAACATTCAAGATAGTGTTAGCCTTCCCTCCTATTAGTAATATTAGATAACAAAACAGAACAGCACCTTCCAAGTTATGAGCTAAAATTACTTTGAATCTAAAAGTCTATACATAAACAACAATAAAGCATGAGGCCAAACACTGATATTCTGTATATGCAGTTTGCTTCAGTTTACTTTCATTTACCCTTTATTAGGGTATTAAAGGATCAACTTTAGTGAGATCTGGATGGAAAAGGAAGGTGGCAGCAGGAAAGGCTTCAATAAACAATGGATCTAACCTGAGAAAGTGGTGTTAAGGATGACTAGCATTGTCATTGCTCTACAACAATCAGACCAAATTACTGGTAGGCTAAGAATTCAGGGATTCAGTGAAGAAAGTCTTCAGGAAGACTGGAATAGGTTACGTTAATAAGTATGAAATCGGAGGATTTTAGCACTATGGTAAAGATGAGTTCTCCTTAGGAAAATGGAAAGAAAGGCAATTATTGGCTGGAAAAACAAAGGGGAAACCATACCAGTTATCAGGTCTGAATATAAAACAAGCCCTGATGAAATGTGGTATGATTCATAGAATATAAAAAAGATAAACTGCATTTGACTGATACTAGGAAGATAATCCTTTAAGCACAGACTGGGATCCTAACATTGGACCTATAGAGAAAGAAATGTAATCACATATTGCCTGGCTCCAACTCTTCAGAGAATATTTACCTAATGATAATGATCAAGTGCTATTTTATTTCCAATTTTATAATATATAGACAAGTCACTTATATATGTCACATATATACAAGTCACTGTCTCTGTATATATAGGCCTATATATTGCCTATTTAATAATGTAAAAGGCAAAATGTAGCTGATAGATTGGATGGTGGGAGGTTGATAGCAATAATGAGAGAATGAATGAATACAAGGATAAGGGGCAATATTCTGATAGAGGGGAGTCAAGAGATCTGTATAAATTTGATAGAATAAGAAATAAAGGTTAGCTAATAAACAGGAGACTGAATTTATAATTTACTTAGCGGGATGAGTTAAATTCTTATCTTTCCTAAGAAAGATTACTAAAGAGTCTATAGTTGATAAATGGAGAAACAGCAACTGCCATAAAGATTCTGACCGAGGGGGTGCCTGGGTGGCTCAGTGGGTTAAGGGTCTGACTTTGGCTCAGGTCATGATCTCAGTCCTGGGATCAAGCCCTGCATCAGGCTCCCCACTTAGTTGGGAGTCAGCTTCTCCTTCTGCCCCTCCCCCCTGCTCAGCTCAGGCTCTCTCTCTCAAATACATAAAAAATCTAAAAAAAAGATTGATGAAAACCTAATTCCAATCAGCTTAGGAGAAAGTATTTATTAGTAGTACCTGTAACTGAAAGGTGTAATGTTTATTTGGTACAGCTTCAAGCAGGTACTCAGACTCATCAGAGATTAACTGCTCTGCTTTCAGTTGTTTCATACTCTGGCAGATTCTTTCTTGGTGAAAAAAATGTCATCTGATACTAGACTTAAAAGGTCCTTAGAGCTTTTAATCTCAAAAGGAAGGTGATCTTCTTTCTCTTAGCCTCCATGTCAGAGAGGAAAAATAGGATTTG